CCACTTGTTGATTTGCCAGATTCAACTGGCCCTGGATGAAGTGCTCTGTTCCCATCTGGCAAAGCTACTGGTGTTACTATCTGGTGCATATTGAAACTTGGGAGAGCAGAAATGGGTGACACAGTCTGAGAGTGTGGAGGCTGGGATGGAGTTAGGTTCGTGATCTAGAGGGGGAAGTGGAAAGGGTCACTGTGTGGTGCATTAGCTTACTAGGGTGCAGAATGTAGCCAGAATTCCCACACCAGAAGTGCTCTGTGTCATCAGAGTGCAGGTATTTCTGCACAGTTGCCTAGCCCCAGCTCCGTGACAACCGAATGCAGGCATACTGCTCCCTGCCAGCGAGAGGATACTCTGCAGAACTCCATGCACTCAAGTTTCCTTCTGCTGTCAAAGCTTCCTCCACCACTTCAGTTTTCTGTCTTATATCTTCTCTGAGTGGTTGCAGCCAGGGCTGACCTAATGGACCCGAGTCCTATTAGAGATAGGAGACAAAAAAAAATTAGTTGAAACTGAGCTCTGAAGAGACTGAATGGAGCATGCTTAACTCTTCTGCATAAAGGACTGGTTCAGTTCCTTGCTGCTTAGTGTCCTGTGATCATTTTAAATTTTTTAATTTTGTAACTCAAGAAGTTTGCTAATTCTTTAATTATTAATGCTGCAGTGCTGTGGTTCCCTGCCTTCAGTTTTGCTGATGCAACTGATTGTGGGATTATGCTTAAGTTGCATCAGTGATATGACCTGAATTAAAAATGTTAAAAAGAAAAAGTTAATTTCACTCCCTTTCACTGATCTGGTTTAAGGTGCAGCCCTACAGATAGTTGGGTCAGCAGCTGAGGGAGTGGTGGAGGGAGAGATTAATAAGGGAGAGGTGGACGGAAGACAAGAACCTCCAAAACTGGTTTTGCCACTAGTGGAAATGTATGTCAAACTTCCACAGGCTTGCAGAGGTGGGGCAAGGTGGACTATGTTAACAGCTTCCCTTGTCTCTGTGGTAGACATATCATGTCCGCTCACTGGCCTTAAGCTACCAGCTCACAGCTTTGGAGTGGGAACAAACTTTATTGCACTGTCACCATTAATATATACCAGGCTTCTTGCTTTGAGAATCTGATTCAGTGTATGGGGAATTCACTGAAATGAACCTACTGCTACTGAGTGTCTCTCAGCACCTAGTATTTAATGTTTGGAAAGCTGGAGTGTCAAGATACAGCTCACATACACACTGCATGTGTAGGATTTTAAAATGAACTGATCAGCTCATTTCAGTTGCAAGGAAGTCCTTATAATCTTGACTTTTAAAAAAATGGTGCAATGCTCCCAGTCTGCAGGCAGCTTACAGAATGGTTCAGAAATTTTAAACCATTTTTATCTTTAAATTTCACCATAGGCTTAATACTGCATTTCAAGAAATTGCTGATCATTTTAGTGGGTGAATGTGAGGGAGGGGAGTGAAGCAAAAGGCAAAAAGCGGCAACTCTAAAGATTCTTCTTCCTGTGTGCAGCTGTCTATACCAAGGTACCAAGCAAAAATAATTTAAGAATTTTTCTATTCTACCCTTTGTGAGAGCCTTTTTGCTGCTAATACCAATTTTCTTACAGGTTAAGAGGAATAGATAGTTCTCACGGTATACTTCAGCCATATGAATTTCAGAAATGGAATTTCTCATTCCTCAAATAAGTTTGGACAATCTGTTTCTGAGTCACTTCTAGCATCATAGACTCCTTTATCTGCTGACTTGCCAGTGAGCTGGTAACGGAGAATAGTACTGTTCAGGGAACACAGAGAAGATCTGTATTGATGCCAGATGTTCCTCTCCATTTGAAGGATGTGGTGTTAAGTTTGCATCTGATGACCAGACTGTTCTTCAGTTTCTTAAAAAGCTTTTTAGATTGATATGCTTTGAGTTGTCCCTAATTTGGGAATTCATAAATGTGCTAATAAGGTGATTCCTAGGTATAGGCTCTCCTATAATGGTGTTCCTTTGCATGTCATTTGGAGCAGTTGACGTGGAATGTGTGTCAAACCTGTTCCATTTCTGTCATCTCTGAACTGATTTGGAATTGGTTCACACTGCTCTAGAACACTTAGAGATAAACTTGATATTAGGAACTTGATAGAGGCAGCGACAGCAGAAAGATTGTACTGTTGTGATCCTGGTGTATGTCAGAGTAATACGATGTCAAACTGCACGTTTCCAGACATGCAGTCTTGGCGAATTTCAAGGATGAGTCAACTTCTGACCTCCTTTTTCTGAGACAGAAAGCGAGATTATTTTTGTCTCTCAGGGTAAGTGAGAGTCAGCAGAGACTGTGAAGTCAGCTATAGTATGTGCACCTGTGCTAATATATCTGTGGCACGTCTTTGTGATTGACCACTTTGGCGAATACAGAGATCCCAGGAGAAAGAAATACGGTAGGGAGTCTTTGGACTATGCCCAAGTTTCTTATCAAGTGAGTCTACCCTACCCCATGCTATAGTTTTCGGAGGCTTGTCTCCAGAATTCCAGGGTATGGAATCCAGGAATAAAAACTTGGAGGTAGAACTGCGAATAGCTTAAATATAGTTTCAAGATCTGAAGGAGAAAGCTTTGTTTGTGGCAAACTAATATTCAAGTAAAGGTTAAGGAAAAACACACCCATTCACTTTGAAAGAATGGTTGCTTCCTTAATGACAGCTAACAGTTTTGATGTGTGTGGTTTCTTTTTCAATGCTCCTATGATCATTCCATTTTTTTATTTTATTTTTGCTTTTTTTCCCTAGAGATGTGAATTATGCCCTCATAAGGATGGTGCTTTAAAGAGAACAGATAATGGGGGTAAGTTTTATTCTTATTTTTTGTGAACTCTCTTATTTTGTGTGAGGGAAATAAGACTGGAAAAAAATTATAGGGATCCTGAACACAAATGAAAACACTGGCTGGTTTGGAAAGAGAGAACTATTTTACAGTAACCTTTATTTGTCCAATTTAGGTTGAATTTAGTTTGAGAACATCAATCATTATTCTTAGTTTTATTTTTAGAAAGAGTTACAATGAAGAAGAAGCTGCATCTTAACGTAAGATTTTAATGGGGAAAAAGGATAAATTTTATGTGTGTTTAGTTGGAGTTTGAGCATTTATAGAAAGCTGTTGAAAGTGCACCATTCATGGAGGAAAGTGGAATTTTTGTGTCTGTAGCCCAGACTGAATGCACCAGTGCATTTTCAAAGAACAGCTCTTTCATGCCTGGTTTACTAATGTGTTCTGTAACAAAGAAGTTACAGCTGAAAAGTTGCAGTAGTGATTACCTGTCCCTTACATCTTTCTAATTTCATCGTTCAGGTTATCATCAGTTCTGCTCCTGCTGAGTAGAACTGCTAGAGAAAGTCTCCACTGAATATCCTGTCTTGGTTATGTTTATACTAATAGCTGGGTGATAGGAATGAAAAACTTCAATTAACTTTTCAGTCACTTCTGGAATTCCTTCTTCTCTCTTTACTAGATACTTCTAAATTCCTGTCCATCATCTATCTGTAAATAGCCTGGTTATTTTGATACTGAGCCCTTTCTTTTGTGAGAGGAGAAATTATGATCAGGATTCTGGGTTTCATTTGGACATGGCGTAAATTGTATTCCGGAGGTTTTATGCTGCACATGTAATATTCTAACTAATTTATATCTTAGCTTAGTGTCGATGCTGTTGATGCAGCTTTGCTACTTCTGTTGCAGTTGAGTTGCAGGAACACAGAGCCTACTTGTGTTTGGGCTGATCTATGCTTTCCCCTGTCTACACTTTGACTGCAATGTAGAGTATACGCTTTAGCGTTCACCATTCTGGTGTCTGCTTATCTCAAACACGTTAGTGAACTTAGTGTCATTTGTGAGAGTTGGGAGATTGTCTTAAGTCTCTGTTGTCTGTGTGTCAGTGAAACTACCATCTTAAGTGCCAGCCCAGTATTTTAGCTTTAGAACTATTCTTCCTCTTAGACAGGTTGATACATGGCAGTGTTGAATTAATTTCTTCAGGTAAGGCAGCTGGACACTTGATTTTTTTAGGAAATAAGTAGTAAGAAAGCCTCAGACCTCTTGAAATACACAGTAAATTTTGTGAAGTGTGAAGTATCTGAAGTGTTTTCTGTTTTTATACTTAAAGTAGTGTTTGGGAATGCCTTGCTATTCTGTATGGTAATTTTGAAATTTTTCTTTGCATAAAGTCTTGAGAACATGTTTTGACAGTGTGCATCAAAGATCTGAGCATCCTATTAGTTATCTCTCATATAGCTGTATTAATTGTAATTATGAATTCTTGTCTGAAAGTGAGTTACTGTATGAGATTGAAATTATTTGAGTTTAAATAGCAAAGATGTTACACTGTACGAACAGTATCGTCCCTGTTACAATTTTCATGACCAACTGCTTTCATCAGTGAAAGCCTCATAGTGAAAACTGAATAGCAGATAAGTCTTAAGAATTTGTACTTCACCTTCTGGAAACATCCATCCCTTAGTAATAGATCTTGTCTATGGTCTTGAATACAGCAAATTCTACCTTATGGACCAAATGTCCTTTAAATAACAGCTTTACAGAAGGATGTGAACCTTGGAAAAAATGGACTCCGACTGGTGTTGCATCTCAGAAATCTACATTCTTAACCTGAAGCTTTCCTTTCAAAGAGTTGCCTAACAAGGGATTGTGCCAGAAGAGTTTCGGACTTAAGGAAATATTGTTGAAGGTCATGTAATGGGGCTTGCCAGTTTAAAATTACATTTACAGTAGATTAATACTTGGATTTTTTTAAATGCTCTTACACTATTTGTTGCTGAGGGAAGTGATAAAAAGATGCAGGTATTTCTGAAGCAACTTTGAAACAAACATTTCTGATAAAACCTTGTAAGGATCCAGCTTTAGAAATTTGTAATTATGGAGTCTTTTGGTAAGTATAGAAATAATTAAAGGGTTTCAGCTTCTCAGAACAAGTGAAGAAATTACTTATGTCAGTGTTACAAAGTTATGCTTCTTTCTGCCTTCTAGCAACAAGTAACTTTATTTTGTGGCCAGAAAACCAATGCAGTTTTTCTTTTGGATATGCGGATAGCTTAGCTCATACATGGTCTGCTGCTCTTGTAGATTTTTTGGTTTTTTTGTGGTAACAGTCTTCTGGATAGTTGTTTTTTAATAATGTGAAGAAGTGTGTTTTGTTTGGGTGTTGAAGATGCTGTATTTTCTTTTATGTCAGGAATCTTAATGTTTTTTGATCTATTGAGCTTTTACTGTAGGATTCCACGATTTTCTTAACCTGCAGTAAGAAGCTGTTACTGCAGGGAGGGTCCTGGCTATGCATTATTTCCTCCTTCTTTGTGATGGTACTAGCATTTAGAACTTCCTCCCCCTGCCAGGTTAATTTTCAGCTAAATGAAATCAGTTCCCTGACCCAGCTGACCATGCTAATGCTGGTGTAGGGGAATGACCAGGACTGTTCTTTCAGCAGCAGCCTGTACCTTAGCTGTTTTAAGTCAGTTGCACAACTGTACCTGAAAGCAGCCTAATCTTATAGCTCTTATGTAGTGGTGTTATCTTGTCTTTAAGAACTCTCGCGCACTATAAGATACATACGGCAAAGTAGTCTGGGAATCAAACTTGTTTTTAAGTATTACTGGCTGACTGGAAAATAGCAATGGTGGTGTATGGTGTGGTTGTGTTGGTGTGCTGTGGGGTTTTTTTGTCCCGCCCTGCCCCCCAAGTGGCGTGAGGTTCCTTGGTGTGCGTTCTTCCTCCTTCCCCCCCTCCTTTTACTGGCCTGTTACTGCTTGTCTGGCTTTCTGGAGATCAGCACTTCTTTAGATTTGCTTTTATGTTTTATATTTCTGGTTGGGAGACATCTACTGTACCTTAGCCGTGCCTATCAGTACAGTTGCTGAGGGTTTATGTAATGGTATTTTTGTGTTGAATGGAACAAGAGTCCATCACTCCATTAATATGTCCACTTCTGTATAAAGGTTTAGTGTCTATAATGTTGTCTGGCAAGGCATTTTGCAGTGATCTGTGCAATGTGTCAAGATGTATGCTGGTTTGTTTTGAACCTGTTACCTCACGGTTTTATTCGATGCCACTTGGCACTTGCTAAGTGATAGGAAGAGACAAAGAGCAGTTATTTTATGTTCACCTTTTCAATACCCCTTCTGGCTTTATAGACCCTCTGTCATTTTCTTTTTTTGTCTCCTTTTCAGGATGCCCAGACTGATTGGGCATTCCTTGTACAGAAAACTGACCATCCCCTTTCCCCTTCTCTATATGTCTTCCAAATGATACATAATCCTTACCAGAGCTGAATGTGACATTTTAGAGAAGCAGACCTACTGTACCTGATGCCATGGAATCTCTAGACTGCAAAATGATTACAGTATGGTTTACTGTTCCCTAACACAGACTATCAATGTAATTATGGGTCACCATTTTTTTGGTACAAATTTTTCTCATTGATTATTGAATATTTGCATTAGTGTAAACATTCATAATACCTTGAGACTAGGACAGATCCTGAAAATGAAACAAAAGTATTAATTTTAGCAAGGCTTTTGCCTGAAGAATGTTCTTAAAATTGAGTGCACTGTTTTCTGCATCTGCTCTGAAAACAGAAGACATGGGTAATCTACATTTTTGAGGCATTAAATATTTTTATAGCCATAGTTAACTCTTGGCTGTTTGGGTTATTGGATGTAGAGTGGGATAGGGGAAGTTCAGTACCCTAGGTAACAGTGACTGTACTAGCCAAGTGGTTTCTAGACGGTGTTGTGGAAACATTCCGCTTAGTGTTGGAAACTCAATGGTTCTGCACCAAGTTGCTAGTGTGTCTGGATCTGGAAGGCCTAAAGAGTTCACGTGAGGCACCAAGTGAAAATGGCATTTTTTGTTGCTCATAACCTTTTTTGGTACACTGGAGAGTACACAGATGCCTGCCTGTTCTTGGCTGGGTGGTGGTGGCTGCTGTCACTGTAATCAGAACCTTGCACAGATCTTGGAAAAGATCTTGCGCAGATCATGGAAACAATGCAGTTGCATTTAGCAGAGTGTAGCCTGGACTAATATCCATGATGCGGGTTATCTGTCAGCAGGTTATCCATGCTAAGGATTATTAAGAGTTGACTGTATTTAGCTGCACATCTGATTGAATTAATTTGTTAAGGGCAGTGGGACATTGCATGGTTATGAACGGGGTGATTGTCAGAAATCTTAGGAATAAGTTTTGAATAAGTTTTAATATTTTGGCTGGCTAACATCTGTGACTGTCTTACAGCTATGGTTAAGTTTTGTTAACAAAAAATAGTCTTCCATATATGTGGGCTTTGTGGAATTTGTTTTTCCATAAGCATTAGGACTTCTTCAGTGTTCAGAGACTGCAGTTCTATTTATTTATTTATTTCAGTTTGTTTATTTATTTATTTATTTATTTATTTATTTATAATTGATACTAGAAGTAGAAAAGTAGGATTGAGTTGAAAAACTAACTTTTCTCTTTCAGTATGTTTATTGACAAAATTTCTTGCTAAGTTTGATATTCATGTTCATTTAGGGGCACCACTGGTTTTAAACACATGACTGAATAGAAGAGATTTTAAAATGAGGAAAACTGGTACATATATGAGTTGCTTATTGCTTTGCTGTCTTATGTGTAAGAAGGCCATTGAAAGAGATATTAACTTTTCTTTACCTTTGTACTCTGTATGTGGATTAGTAGTTGGACAAAATATAAACACATTTTTTTGAAAAACAGAAAAGCAACAAGTGAGCATTTGTTTGAAGATACTTGAGAACTGTAATGTTTCCTTAACGGCTGCAGT